ATATATATATATATACTGTATATACAGTATATATAATAACTGGGCTCAAAAACCCGTTTTAAAGCAACAATATATAGGTTAGTTGCTTCCTAAAGGTGAACTTGCAGAAGGGAGGAATGGGAACCTGCAGCCATGGATGACAGTGACAGTTATTACTCTGGGCTGAAAAAGTCAAGGTCATTGTAAAAAAAAGGTAGAGCAAATGTACCCTGGAGCTCACATTCCTAACCCATCAGGTGGACAGAACAAGAGAGCTCTGGGGGATGTTTAACATCAGCTCATTGTCCAAAAGGTAACTTTATTTTTTATCTGATAGAATCAGAGAGGGAATGTTTGTGGATCCTTGGTTCAAAGAAAGTCTAAAGTTTATCTCTCCTTCAGTTGTTCCTCCCAATTGTTGTTTGTTTTTGTGCCTCTGTGCAGAGGAGAATTGTTCTACAGATGTTGAGTGTGTTTTTGTTCGGTAGCTTAGATACCACGAGCGGCGCTCTGTTTATTTCATTTTCACAGGGCTGCAGCTTGCAGGGGGGCTTCTGCAAATTATCTGCCAACTGCTGATAATTTGCAGTTGTGTTTGTACATTGTGAGTGTGCGCACACAAACACATTCTCTGATTGCTTGAATCAGTCATCAGAATACTTTATTGCAGTGTTCAACAACTAGATTCATGCTTCAGGCTCTAATAGCAAGTTATTTGGCCTGCAAGCTTGTTTTGACTAGATCTGAAAAAAAAAAGGAATTATATTTTGTTCTTTTTCTACAGTGTCACTTAGCTGGTTTCAAAGAAAGAAAAGGAACTTCTTAGTAAATAAGCTCACCAGCTGTGAGCACAGATAAAAAAAATCATTGATTAACAGTACATGTTGGAAACAAAAACACTTGTGTCTCATACAGTGAGTCCATAAATTAGGTAGTTTGGACAACTCTTCAGAGACTTTCAACTCATTTTACAGGTTTAATTTAATGTTTTACTGTATACATTAAACTCAATTTGACAAAAGAATGAAAGTAATTGTCAGTAATCAACATATCTGTCATACAATGGAGCATGGGCACAGATTCACAGTGATCCAGATCC